GGTGCTACCGTGAGAGAGAAAGAGAGAGAGAGAGAGAGAGAGAGAGAGAGAGAGAGAGAGAGAGAGAGAGAGAGACGTTGCCACGTTGGTGCTACCATGTGAGCGCGCGCGCACGCGAGAGAGAGAGAGAGAGAGAGAGAGAGAGAGAGAGAGAGATGAGAGAAACGAATGGGAAGTCGTGCAAGTCGTCGAGACTATGTTGGGGGATATGGAGAGAGATGGGGGAAAGCAGTCTCAAGCAGGCGGCGGGCGTATACGTGGACAGTAAGCCACGGCTGAATTCGTGCTCGATGTCAATAGCGAGCCCGAGACTTGAGAATCCACGCGGCACTAGATTGCCYGAGAAGGTACTCACGCAAGGACCTAAACCTTCAGGAGACAATTCCCAAGCGGCTGAAGGAAGGCGAACAATAGTCTGTAACTGGCCAGATGAGAGAAACGAATGGGAAGTCGTGCAAGTCATCGAGACTATGTTGGGGGATATGAACAGGTGCAGACAGGAGATTCGCCTCCTTCACAGGCATCTCATCAACAGTGGGGACAGTATCACAGTCCGTGATGACGACGGTTCTTTCAAACACGGCACTCGCCTTGCGCAAGCCTCTAGAAGTGCAAGAGTTTGGGCGTGGAGAGTTGACCGCCGCCTGCGCCGAGCGAGGGATGAGGCCGCAAGCTGGTTAGCGTTTTTTACTATGAGGAATGTTCGTCTGCAAAAGACTGTCGAAGCGGCCATTGATGAGCGTGATTATGCAAGAAGTCGTCTCAAGGAATTAGACACGGCTTACTCCGACGTCCTCAAGATTGAAGACAAGCATTACCGAAGGGTGATAGAGTTGGAGACGCGGTTTAAGGAACTCAGGGACGTTGTTCCTGATGACAGGGAGGCAGAGGTGACATCGCATAGTGGGGACACAGTAGTGATTGGCGGGAATCCACGTCGACTCGAAAGGGCAGCAGATGCTGGTGTCGATGATTAATGCACGTGATGACATGACGAACAAAGGGAAGCGGCTTATGTATATATATATATTCTTCCTTGAGTCAATAGAGAGGTCATGAGTCAATAGAGAGGTCAAAGTAATCTCCTTTTACAAAAAAAATGACTTGAAAGAACCCTTTTTCTCATTACGCCTAATAGGATTCGGGGCACTGGAACTCTGTCTGTTTCTGTCTGTTTCTGTCTGTTTCTGTCTATCTGTCTGTCTCTCTCTCTCTCTCTCTCTCTCTCTCTCTCTCTCTCTCTGTGGCCTGAGGTCCGCGTTCAGCAAATGTGTATGACCGTAGCGTAGTACGACATGAAAAGTCTCAAACAGCTCGGCGGTCGCTGGCTAGGGTGAGTGGCCGTACTTTTTTGTGCCTACTTGTCCCAATATATGGCATTCGCGTAGTAGTCTAAGCGAAGAAGGACTTCGTTGATTACCCATCTCTCTCTCTCTCTCTCTGGCCTGAGGTCCGCGTTCAGCAAATGTGTACGACCATAGCCGGAAGTGAGCAGGTCCTGAAGGTTGCTCTTGACATCCACGACGCAAACATGTTTTAAGATAGATTAGTGTTGTGTCGACAAATAGAATTATAGCGTCAGACACATATTGTTTCGGTATGGGAAGCTGTTGAAAAGACGACATGCTTGACATCAGAGTAGGATGGAAGAAAAGGAATGATCCGCTAGAAGTTGACCGTGTTTCAAGGAATGATCCGCTAGAAGTTGACCGTGTTTCATAACGCGCATGGAATGAGAACAATGTTCGCCTTTCACACTTTTTTGTCTGGGAAGCCTTTCGCTGAGACACATTTTGCTACTGCGTGGATCATGGTGCATGTGTCTTAAAAAAGTAGTTGTTTCTGTATTCTTCAATATTTTTATGCTTGAGTGGCATTCAAGCAGGTTGGGGAAAAGCATGCAAACGTGGCCGTTCGATTGTGAAAAGAATGAAACGAAAATTGTTCAAACGAAAACCCTTCATGACGTTTTTTGTTCATGGGTTCGATGTTATTGCCTTCAAACAAGGATTTTCCTTGGCTTTCTTTTACCTTTTGTTAAGGTAGGTTTCTTTTATTATTTATTATTTTTTCCTGTTTTTTGATGCGCGGGTGGCATGTGACCAGGGTGGACACGTGGCCGACCACGTGTAAAAAAAAAATTAAAAAAATCGTAGATGATGCCTCTTCTTTATGGGTTGGATTTTATTGCCTTGTAGCAGAAATTTTCGTAATCCGCTTTCTTATCTGTTGTCTTTTCGTAATTTTGTTTGTTTTTTAATGTGGTACCATCTATTGCCGTCGTCGTGGATAGGGAAATGGGAATGATGCTCGACAAGTGGCTGAGTCTCGATCAACTCGATAGAGAAGGGATGATCTAGCAGAAGATGATGTCCTATCTCCCGTGTCGTCCTCTCTTGAGTCCCCCTCTGCAAAGTGATTTGCATGTCATTGCCGTGAAGTTGGGATTTTGGACTTCATTTCCCCGTTACCCTTTTCCCAACGTTTCGTCATGCGCACGTGTGCGGCACCGTATGCATGCCTCCCTCATTGAGACCATGTACGCAGATGTGGACATTTTCATTGATACGTTGATATTGGATTGTATGAGGTGCAAGCATTCATCGACGTATTTGTCTGCATCTTCCATGTATGAATATCTTCTCAACAAACCCATAAAGTTGTAGTTCTGCGACCGTGGGAAGATGGTCATGATCTGTACGATGGTCGCAGGATGTCACTAATGTCGAACTTGCTTCAGTGAAACCGACAAAGTCAAGAAGACTCTGCTGACGTGTCAGTCTATAGCCGTCGATCCAACTTGTCCACCCATAGCTGTTGATCCATGAACATTGACCCTGCGGATTGATCCTTGGCTATACATAAGGGATGTGCATCCGTTGATATCCTGAAGTTCAACCCGTCAGGGAGCACAACAAATCTATGAGAGTTTGAATAACTCACTTATCCATAGCTTTGTATTCTTCGCTACTTTTGTGAGACTGGTGTGTATGCATCCATCGCTGTAGATGAAAATGTACGGATCTCACTTATCCATAGCTTTGTATTCTTCACTGCTTTTGTGAGACTGCTGTGTATGTATCCATGGCTCACAACGACAATGTACAGATCGTCAAAAGTGCATAAAAGTAAGCTTTGCAGTGCAAGAACATTGGCTAAAATGGCGTTGGCCGAAGACTTGTGAGGAAGCAATGAGGAAAAAAAAAGAAAAAAAACGGACGTGTGAGGAAGCAATGAGGAAAAAAAAAGAAAAAAAACGGACGCAGTCAGGGTTCGATTTAAGGAAACACTTGACGGAAAAAGGTGGGGTAATGGTGAATGTATATGAGCTAGGTTTCGGGTCCGGTGGGGTCACGTGGGGGTATGTTAAATCCGATGGAAAGATGGTCCGGTGGGGTCACGTGGGCGTCGTGGGGGTATGTTAAGGCTGAAGTTACCTATAAAAAAAAAAGAAAAAAAAAAGGGAAAAAAAAAAAAAAAAAGAGACAGACATGATTGCCGTTCGGAAGGGATACGTGGTATAGCCACAGCGAACATCATCGTCCCGCATTATTATCATCAACATCCCACATCATTATCATCATCATCATAATCACCTTGTGCATCATCATTATGGGGGGGGGGGGGAACAATCTGCCGAACTCGCGCCGTATGCTTGTCAGCGACGACCCGCAGCATCGTTGGTTTGTGGACGTCACCTTCCACACCTGTCATCGGGAAGGGCATGCTCATCCGATTCGGGTTTTTTTTTTTTTTTTCCTCTCCCTCTACTTCTATGAGGACGTCAGCATCATTCTCAAATCACACCGATTATTCTCAAATCACACCGATTCATACGTGGTCAAGGAATATGGCCCATTTGAGTGGCTTATGGGTATGCAAACCATGTGCTAGAACTAGGACATACGAGCAACCGGGGCAAGCTACGTAGATTTACTTGAAACTAGATTGAAAACCAGAAAACACTCATTAACCTCTTCATTATGGAAACCCTGAATTCCTCTCGCTGTTAGATTGACCATGTTGTGTTCATTTCCTTCTGGAAAGGGCGATTCTTGTGTTGCGCTTCCCCTTTTTAGGGGGTATTTCGTTTTGCGGACCTACTGTACGGTTCCGTTTTTCCAACTATGGATATGGCAGAATTCGTTTTGGTAACCTTGTCTGCATCCCCGTTGGTTTTGTCCCGTTATCGATCTATTTTGGCAAGCGTAGTGGTGCTTCATGTGGGACCAGTCGTCCGAGTTCTTTCGTTTTGGTTTGGCATCCTGGTTGGTTGTTTCCCGTTGTTCGGCCTGTGTGAGGGGGCGGTGTTTCTATGTGGGAATCATCATCTGGGATTGTCCTTTATGTTTAGATATGTATCTGGGATTCTTTTTTTTGCAGACAAGAGTGCTTTATCCTGGGCGGTCTTGTCCCGTCGGTTGGTCTGTGTAGGACTGGGGCGGTGCTGGCATGTGGGACTTATCATCTAGGATCCGTTTTGGTGCTGTTGCTTGTTGCCCCCCCACCCCCCCTGTTTTGTTGTATTTGGCTGTTCCCTTCCTCTTTTCTTTGCCTCTTTGCCTTTAGGCTGTGTGCAGGTGGGTCGATATGACGCACGGGGGTGGGGGCAGCCATCGCTCAACCTACATCCACGTGGGCGGCCTTGTACGCAAGAGGTTCTGAACAGGGGGAGTTGTAAGGAAGAAGATAAATAAGCGAATTTTTTTTTCTTGTTTTCTTCTGTTTTTTTTCGCCTTTGCGCTCTGATCTTCATGCTACGATATAACGATTTTTTTTTATTTATTTTTTTTCTTTTGCGCTTTGATATTCATGTGAAGATATATTTATATATATAATATATATATATTATATATATATATAGAACTCATCTTTCAAGTTTCAACTGACTGCCTGACGTCATATGAAAATAGAGTTATCACTAAAACAGCTGATCCTGTCTGGATTTTAACTCGCCTGACAGTGTGTATTTCGGAAGTCCGTGGGTCTGAACTCGGCAGACATCACCAGTATGTAACGTTATCTTTTTTTGAGCGACGGCATTTTGGAAAGGCAGTCCAACGTTCTTGTTGTTACGTATTGTCCTGATCATGAAGAGTGTTGTGGACAGCTTTTCACAGGCTACACGGGCCAGTGCAGATGAAATGCAACAGGACAGGCTACAAAACAGAGAAACGACCACCCCAATGATGATTCTCATCTAGTATTAGCCAATTAGGCCGTTCCACTGATTTGCGGCAACCCGCTTATAATACTTTGTGGTATTCGTTTTTTTTTTTGTTTTTTTTTTTGTGGTTCGTAATGATATTTTGGAATGCTCGCGGAGGGAAAGGAAGTCCAATGACAATCCTGGTCCATCTCAGAGTCTCTGGCTGCTCGACTCAATCGCACAATTTTTGCTGTCCAAGATACGTCCCGTAGAGTGCTACAGTCCTGAGGAGCGAGTCAGCCAATGGCAGCTTGCAAGGCGAAAGGGTTGTTCATGCTCTTTTTTTTTTAAACAGAACGATTTCAAAATGAGCTACTGCGAATTACACAGGGTTGTGTAGGGCGAAAGATCATGAATATTGCCCGACCCTCGAGCGCGACCTTTTTTCAGAGTGAGCCTTTCGAGGACGCATATGAGAAAAACAACAAACCGTCCACTCCGACATATTTTGTGTGCGTGTGTGTGTGTGTGTGTGTGAGAGAGAGAGAGAGAGAGAGAGAGAGAGAGAGAGAGAGAGAGAGAGAGAGAGAGAGAGGAGAGCATTGCAAGGCAGTGCGAGCAGCATCACATAAACAAAACATGGCGCCAGCACAGGATAACTACGAAAAGTGCGGCACACAACGACTGGGTCCTTCATCCCAGAAAGGTGTCCGTCGCTGACGACGAAAACATGAAAAAGAAGGGAACATAAAAGATGAACTCTGGGGTGCACGCGAAAAGAAACACACAACAAAGTTGAACGAAGCAATAAGTAACAGGTCACAATAGCAACAGGTTTACAAATGACGGGGGCAGCGTGGAGGCTTGTTCAAAAGGGAGACTATCATTCTCAAGAAATCCATTCGGTATGCAAAAATAAACAAGTACAAAATACGTCCCTCATGCACAACTTCACAATGTTCTTGCAACATCAAGTCAATCCCAAAAGTGCACAGCATCAACGGCTTGTGCTCTCTCTCTCTCTCACACACACACACACACACACACACGGAATGCGCCAGCAGCGGACCGTCGCTTGGTGCTTGTCAAACCCAACGTCATGACAGCGATTTATAGGTGCTATCGCCTCGACTTTCTTTTTTTTTCTTTTTTTTTTTGCGGCGTTTGCCGTGGGGCGAACGGTTGTGCCTGGAAAGACATCATGGACACACACAATGTCACACGTGAGAACGACAGCATAGTGCACGTCGAGGGGCGAGCAATGGGACGACACGGAATGACGATGCAGAGTGGGG